AGTCACCACGCTGCGTTCCCTTCTTTTATGTGATGAATTGTTATGTGATGATATGTGATGTACTTTTATATGATGTAAAATCTCACACCACCCTTCGTTCCCTTCTTTTATGTGATGAATTGTTATGTGATGTACTTTTATGTGATGTAAAGTCTCACACCACCCTTCGTTCCCTTCTTTTATGTGATGTACTGTTATGTGATGTAAAGTCTCACAATTCTATTTGTCCGTAACTCGGAAGATTGCTTCCCAGCTTCCTTTGATAATGTTGTATCCTGATTAGTGTCTAGGTTCGCTATTGTGCCATTTTCCAAATTATTCTGAACCCAGGCATTGTTTGATAGGTTCGGTATTGTGCCAAGATATCTTGGGTCTTGGGAGACTATTTTTTTCGTCCAAAAAAATGTTTGTGCAAAAAATATCTGTTTTTTTCTGAAAAATGATTGTCTCCCTGTGCCAAAAGAACCAGACCGCTTATTGAAGAACAACTTTTCCACACATTTCCAAGGCACTGGGCCATGAGAGGGCCCAGTTCATTTTAGTAGGTTTGTTCTCACGGCTCACAATTGCAGCAAGCTTTTCCAGAGCTGATCCTGGAGCCAAGAGAAGAAAGAAAAGAATTTTACAAAAGCAATTTAAAAGTTCAAAGTCCAAGCCTTTTCCGAAAGAATCAGGCCGCTTATTAAGCCCTTATTAAAGAACAACTTTTCCACAAATTCCCAAGGCGCTGGGCCATGAGAGAGCCCAGTTCACTTTAGTAGGCTTGTTCTCACGGCTCACAATTGCAGCAAGCTTTTCCAGAGCTGATCCTGGAGCCAAGAGAAGAAAGAAAAGCCTTTTACAAAAGCAATTGAAAAGTTCAAAGTCCAAGCCTTTCCCGAAAGAATCAGGCCGCTTATTAAGCCCTTATTAAAGAACAAATTTTCCACAAATTCCCAAGGCGCTGGGCCATGAGAGAATCCAGTTCACTTTAGTAGGTTTGTTCCAAGCCTTTCCCGAAAGAATCAGACCGCTTGTTAAACCCTTTTTAAAGAACAGCTTTTCCACAAATTTCCAAGGCACTGGGCCATGAGAGGGCCCAGTTCACTTTAGTAGGTTTGTTCTCAGGGTTCACAATTGCAGCAATTTTTTCCAGAGCTGATCCTGGAGCCAAGAGAAGAAAGAAAAGCCTTTTACACATTTATTTCTCTTTATCTTCCTCTTCCTCTTCCCCTTCCTCTTCCTCGTCCTGTCTCTCTTCATCTTCCTCTTCCCCTTCCTCTTCCTCGTCCTCTTCCTCTCTCTCTCTCTCTTTCTCTTTCTCTCTTCCCCTTTCTCTTTTTCTTTTTCTTTCTCTTTTTACACTTTGAATAAACAACTTAAGGTGGAAAAAGTAATCCCTTCTCCCTATTGCTACTTCTCCCCTAAATAATGAAAAATACCCCAGGCTATTTGTTGTGAGAAATTTCAGATTGGTCAATTTTACTTTTACTTGATCCCCTTTAGAAAACAATTTAAACATCAAGGTCCATTTGAAGGTTCTACCCCCTTAATAATAAAAACTAGTTAGCCCCAGGGTGTTTTTTTTAAATTAGGGTCCGTTTGTTAAAATCGAAAATTTTAGTTTTTTTAGGTTAAGGTTTTAAATTTAATATTAGGGGAAAGCTTCGGAATCCAATTTTTGGCAATATTTTAACTAGATTTCAAAAGCGAATTTAATGATTTTGAAATCGATTTTTTAAATTTATTTATTAACGTTTTTTATTCAATATTAGGAGCGAACTTCTCCCCCGGGTATTAAATACACCCTAATAATAAAAACTACCCCTAGGTTTTATTATTTGGGAGGGGCACGTCTAATATTAGGGTGAAGGGATTACTACAAATATCTCAAATTCATTGGCAAAAGTTTTAATTAGATTCCAATTGTAGCCAATTAAAATCCTTACTTAAATGCGGGATTGTTTTTTCTGGGGAGGAGTTTCTTGACACCCAGCCTTAGAGAGGATATAGCTCTTGTTTGAAGGGGAGTGCACACAAATCAGGACGAAACATTATCTGCATATATCATATACACAGAGCTAAACATAATATTCATATGGAAAGATGGATCGACTGTACTGTATATGATATCTGCAAAGAAGGGACCTGATAAATATGTGTTGATTTGCGTTGATGCATGAAGCTGTCACTGGCTCAATGCATTCACCCACTCCCAGCCGCTTCAAAGCAAGCAACACTCCAGTGGCTTTTCATCGGAGTTCTTGGCCGCAATTCGTGTCTTGTGCACTGCTTAGCCGCAGCCTCAAACCTCAACAGAAAGCGCCTCTTTGCTTTCCAAGTTCTACGTGAAGTTGCTGCAAATCTTGGTCAAACTGGTTGGCCACCACCCCAATCACCTTTCGGATCCGAAGTTTCAATTTGGCATTGATGGCCGCGAAACCACCGGCCGTTTCCACGGCAGTGAAGATGAGACGTTTGTCTGCATCTTTGGATGCGCCTGCATTCTGCAGATCTAAGATGGTCAACTGCTTTCCGATGGCCATAGCGGTATCGATACTGCACTTCCCGCTGTTCATCACACCAGAGGACGTCAAGATGTTCAAAGATTCGCGGGTAGGAACTTCATCTTGGATGAGAAAGGTTTGAAGGAGCTCAAACAAACACCAAGCACGGGACAGTGGCACCACACGTTCATCCAGAATCATGCACGTTCCGAGGCACGAAGGACTCCGAAGTGCTTTGTAAAAGGAAGACTCTGAGGGCGGTGCAAGGGGCGGAATTTCCTCAGACATCTTCCACTGGTTGTTGCTGAAAGTGCAAACCCAATAGCGCATGTCCTCACCTGTTTGCTTTGCGTGCTTCAGGATGCTCTTCACAGTGAGGTTGAAGTGCATCCCCCACCAATGTGAGATGAACCATCTCACCATGCCACATCCTACCAACTCTGCATAGGAGACCTGCTTCTTTTGAGTCAATGGCTTCACAATCTCGTCACAAACCCAATACATATCCCGGTCATCCAACACAGATGCGAAGAAAGTCTGAAGCTCATCAAGCTGCCCTGCACTGATGGATCGCTCCGCCCCAGGACGGCAGGTCTCCAAAGCATCGCTTCCTGTACGTTGAAGTAGCTGTGAGAAGCTTATCAAGAGCAACTGTCTCTTCACCCTGTCTGCATGGAGCGATGCAAGATGCTCCACAGATTCTATGATTTTCTTGAAGCTGCGAGTCAGGAGTCTTTTACACATATCCAATCCTCCAGCCTGTTGGAGGTACGACTGGATCTGAAGCTCATCTTCCAGTGCAGCATTGAGATCCAAGTTGACCAGGAGCTCCAAGCATTCCATGCACATGTCTGGGCTACACTGGCCTCGGTTCAAAACGCCAGAAGGAGCGCAAAACAGCAGACGATCCAAGTCTGGGTTGTTGCCGCTGTTGCCCTGTGTAAGTGTAGCAACGGAAAGGTCGAGAAAGTCCTGGCGGCCCTGGGAATCGGAAAAGGAGAGATATTCACTTAACCCCCTGGGATGAGGAAAAGGAATCACCAGTGCCTGGCAAAGAGGACTATTCAAAGCTTTGTGGAAAGCTGACTCAAACAGGCACCCATGACCCAACTCATCAGATAACTGAATCTGATTCATCGAAAATGCGCAAATCCAGTACCTGGCATCCGTTCCATCCGCATGTGCATGAAGGCAAGTCAAGACCGTCCTGAATTCCCAGGACCACAAGTGTGACACAAAGAAATATGGAGCTGAGCGAGCTCCAACAAGTTCGGCAAAGGACAAGTTCAATGGCTGCGTCAAGGGCACAATGATGTTGCTCACTATATAGTGAAAGTTCCTTTGCTCAATGAACGTCTCGAAGGTCGAATAAAATTCCTGCAAATCACGCAAGCGCACGGATCGTGAAGCTCCAGTTTCAGTGGCTGAATGGGCCTTTTTCATGCGCTCCCTGTACCACTGGACCCTTTGATGCAAAGGATTCTTTGTTTGGATCACCTGGCGCACATAAAAGCACAGAGCCAGCAGAATGGCTGGAGCTGCTAGCACCAACTGAGGATTGAAATGGAAGAAGAAACAGAGCAGCAACAATTGCAAGAATGCAGCCAGGAAAATTGGCACCCCAAGCACTGAGGCCCAAATCATGCAGCCAGGCCGGACCAAGCGGCAAAAACCTTGGGAGGACTCGAAGGATAAGGATGCTGGAAGACTGTCGCTGTCGCACACCAGCAGCTGCACCGAATTCAGGACTTTCACCTTCAGGGCGGCGACACGCTCCTCATAGGGACAGCCAGTTCCCCACAACACGATCTTCGGCCGAAACCAGCCAGAGATGCCATGTGGCCGTGCTGTGGTAATGACAAATCCACAGAAGTGGTTGGACTGGGTGAGATTAGAAATGGGCACTGGCAATGCTAGGGCCCTGGAAAGCAAGACGGTCAGGCCATAGATGCAAACGAAACTGGCTGCAGCGGCGAGAGCTTGGCATCCCTCATCCACTGAAGCCATTAGATGGTGGAATCAAAGAATGTTGATAGCTGAAAATAATTTGTTGTTGAAGATGACAGGCGTCTATGGTTACCTGGTAAATCCCAGTTTTCAGGGTCGACCGTTCGAGATATGAGTCTGAGTCTAGTGCACTGAATTGCCTTGAGGCTTCAGTCAGGTAGGATGACGTCAATAAATGCACATGTTTTTTCTGCTAGGGCTCGAGCAAAGTTGCCACATTTTGCACCGCTCAAGCGATCCCAAACATCCAGGGGCCACCCCAAAAAACTCAGCATCGGATGAATATATAAACGCTGCATGTTTTCAGAAAGAAAATTATTGTGGGAAATCTCACCATTTGCGAAGCCTAAGCGCTTCATAAATCTGCCGTCACAGCCCCGTCAATGGATTTGATTGACGGAAAAACCAAAGACATCTGATTGAAATCTGATGGTAAAACTGGTTTCCTGTAAGTTGCCCCGAACAACCACTCGTCCTGGATAACCACTCCAGTAATCCATGTGGCACCTTCAGCTCTCTCATGGTTTTGTCCTTCATGGGAGGGGCCTCAGCTTTGCCCGTGAGGCGAAGGCGCCAGCGCGTCAAAATGTGTGTATGACCAGGCGATAGCCTATGCATACCAATACACCAAGACATTATAAAGAAACAACTACATATATATATACTATAATATTGCTATTAAATGTAATATATATATATATATGGGGGTTGTCCAAAATACCTTTTCCCGGACAGCCCTCAATCGCTCAGCCAATCGCGTAGCAACCGCGGTACCACAGTGAGCAATCGCGGAAGGGTTTGTTCTTCGTTGATCAGATCATATACATAAAATATAAATTATGCATTATATAATGAATCGCGACAAAAATCTTATGCTAATTCTTTGTAATATCATTGCTTTTCTGCTGAATTTGAAACATGTTTGCCGCCTCGTGTCAATTGGATTTAAAAGCAAAGGCAGAAATTCCTAGGTGTACTAGTGGTAGTGGTGGTGCAGTAGCAGCGGGTGTGGTGGTAGTACTAAGAGTAGTAGCAAGTCTAATAATGAGAGTAAGGATCCATGCGTGAACACGTTCGATTTCAAATTTGGGAGCAAAATAAGCTTGCGCGGTCCGGAAACGGTCCGGAAAACTCACAGTAGTACCAGCAGCAATAGTACTAGTACTAGTACTAGTAGTAGTAGTAGTAGTAGTAGTAGTAGTAGTAGTAGTAGTAGTTAGTAGTAGTAGCAGTAGTAGGGGTAAGAGTAGGGGTAGGAGTAGGAGTAGGAGTTCTAGTAGCAGGGCAAGGGAAGAAAGGGAGAGGGAGGGAAAGAGAGAAAGAGAGAGAGAGAGGGAGGGAGGGGGGAAACAGATGGTTGCGTTTGGCCGGTTTCTGACGGGTTTCTGACTGGTTTCTGACTGGTTTCTGACCCTTCAGCGGGACTCGTGTCAATTGGATTTAAAAGCAAAGGCAGAAATTCCTACGTGTACTAGTGGTAGTGGTGGTGCAGTAGCAGCGGGTGTGGTGGTAGTACTAAGATTAGTAGCAAATCTAGTAGTGAGAGTAAGGATCCATGCGTGAACGCATTCGATTTCAAATTTGGGAGCAAAATAAGCTTGCGCGGTCCGGAAACGGTCCGGAAAACTCACAGTAGTACCAGCAGCACTAGCAGTAGCAGTAGCACTAGCAGTAGTGGTAGTGGAAACTGGCATAGGAGTAGGCGTAGGAGTTCTGGTAGGAGGGTGAGGGAATAGGCAAGGGAGAGAGAGAGAGGTTGCGTTTGCCCGGTTTCTGACTGGTTTCTGACTGGTTTCTGACCCTTCAGCGGGACTCGTGTCAATTGGATTTAAAAGCAAAGGCAGAAATTCCTAGGTGTACTAGTGGTAGTGGTGGTGCAGTAGCAGCGGGGGTGGTGGTAGTACTAAGAGTAGTAGCAAGTCTAGTAATGAGAGTAAGGATCCATGCGTGAACGCATTCGTTTTCATATTTGAGAAGAAAAGAAAATTGCGCG